AAAAAAAAAAAAAAAATCCTTGTTTTTCAAGGATTCACCACTCTAAGAGTCCTTGACTGAGTGAGCAGACTCCTGGTGCATGCTACAATGAGCTTCAGGAAACCTAGATTTGATTTATGCAGTTTTGGAAGAACAGCTCTTGAAATGAATGCAGTTTATCTCACGTGGCCTCGCCCACACGCGAACACAGTGGGACCCAATCGCATCCCTTTTCCCGGATGCGGTTACCTTCGGTGCCGTCCGGCTCCGCCTGCTCCTCACGCTGCTTCTGCTTGAACTTCATGTTCCCGTAATGCATCACGGCTCCCGTCAGTTTGTAGATCCCAACTTTCTCCTCTGAGCTGAAGCCCAGGATGTCAATGGCATTCTGGAAAGAAAAAAAGGACGACTGTCATAGTAGGACTCAGGGATCCATATGCAGCCTCTTCTTGGCAAAGACCTTACCTCTTTTTTGTATAGCATGTGAGACAGCATTTGCCCAAATAAGTGGATGACAGGTGGGGTGTGGTAAATTAGAAACCATTTGTTTCACATGTTTGTGTGGGTGGATGGAGACTATGGGAAAAAGGTGTGAATTGTCTGTTTCCTTCCATCAAGTAAGAACCGATTACGGCCGGGTGCGGTGGCTCACGCCTGTAATCCCAGCACTTTGGGAGGCCGAGGCAGGCAGATCAAGAGGTCAGGAGATCGAGACCATCCTGGCCAACGTGGTGAAACCCCCATCTTTACTAAAACTAGCTGGCCATGGTGGCCGGTGCCTGTAGTCTCAGCTACTCAGGAGGCTGAGGCAGGAGAATCACTTGAACCCGAGAGGCAGAGGTTGGAGTGAGCCAAGATTGCACCATTGCACTCCAGCCTGGGAGACAGAGCGAGACCCCATCTCAAAAAAAAAAAAAAAAAAAGGCAGGGCGCGGTGGCTGAAGCCTGTAATCCCAGCACTTTGGGAGGCCGAGGAGATCGAGACCATCCTGGCTAACACAGTGAAACCCCGTCTCTACTAAAAATACAAAAAAATAGCCAGGCGTGGTGGTGGGCGCTTATAGCCCCAGCTACTCGGGAGGCTGAGGCAGGAGAATGGGGTCAATTCGGGAGGCTGAGGTTGCAGTGAGCCGAGACTGCGCCACTGCACTCCAGCCTGGGTGATAGAACAAGACTCCATTTCAAAAAAAAAAAAAAAAGAAAAGAAAAAGAAGAGAACTGATTATGATCTTTTTGCACTGTACATAGATTTGGGGGGCAATTTTCTGGATGAGGCTATCGGGAACCATTGTATGATACTGAGAACTGGGAATGTCATGGAGAATGACTGGGAAATAATGTTCAACGGCTTAAGAGTTCGGCATTGTAATCCAGAAATTCCAGTATTGTTCGGACTCAAGACAATCAATATGCATTATAGAATATTAGATCTGGAAGGGAAGATCATCAAAGATGGTATCATCATTTCCCAAATGAGGAAGGGGCAAGCTTTTGCAGAGCCCTTTCTATGTGCTAGACATTGGGTAGGCATCATCTCTATGTTATCTTATTAAATCCCCATGAAGCCCCTTTAGCTGTGCAGGTTTTTCCAAATTTCTGGATGAAGAATTGAGGGTCTAGTTGGTAAGCAGCCTGTCAAAAGTCATACAGGGAGGGTGTGATAAGACTGGGACTGGAGTTAGGTCTCGGTCCCTTCAAAACCTATGGTCATTGCTGGTTTGGTTTTATAACTACGTTGCCTGTCTTCCACCACAAAGGTTTCAACTAAAAGAAATCCTTCTCTGGGGTTCACATATTGATTATGCAGTAGGGTTTGCAATCTGAGCCTGTAGAGTGTCCGTTGGTAGGACTGAAACATGTCTGGACATGTTTGGTGAGCAGGTAGGATAGACCCAGTAGGCCAACACCAGCAGGATGGTATTGAAGAGTCAGGCATTCTTGGAGTGGCACCCCCTTTAGTGGAGAAAGAGCCTATGCCAGGAGCTGGGACATATGGGGAGGAGAGATTCCGAGGCCATGATGGCCATCCCTTGAATCCATATCCCATTTCAGGGATGCATATCTCTGTCCTAGGGAGGGGTCATTGTAGGTTAAAAGAGAAAGAACTCTTTCAAAAACACTGAAAGGAGCGGGTGAAAGCGTTACTGCCTGGGGACCCTTTTGGAGAATGTCATCTCCAAAGGGGTGCAGGTGGAACCTGGGTATATGATGAGATGTCACTCCCATTATGAGGTTACCAATCAGTTGACTTTGAGTTCATAAAAAGGGAGACTATACCAGGCAGGCTAGAAAAGCTCTGTGAGGCCAGGCGCAGTAGCTCACATCTGTAATCCCAGCACTTTGGGAGGCCAAGGTGGGTGGATCACAAGGTCAGGAGTTCAAGATCAGCCTGGCCAACATGGTGAAACCCCATCTCTACTAAAAATATAAAAATTAGCCGAGGGTGGTGGCAAAAGCCTGTAATCCCAGCTACTTGGGAGGCTGAGGCAGAGAACTGCTTGAACCTGGGAGGCAGAAGTTGCAGTGAGCCAAGATCGCGCCACTGCACTCCATCCTGGGGACAGAGCGAGACTCCATCTCAAAAAAAAAAAAAAAAAAGAAAGCAAAAAAAGCTCTGTGAGAGGAAGGAGCAACAGTCACATCTGGTCACAGGTATCTAGGTGAGGACATGACTTAGGCATGGTGACTTTTAGAATTCCTTAGGTGGGCCTTTCTCAGGGGATGGGGGCCTTGCAGTCATTAGCCTAGCCCCTTCTGTGCTTACAAGTTAGTGAAGACTGGGGAAACCTCACTAAAAATATATAACAACTTAAATTCAATTAAATTTGGTCTAAAACTGCCTCCATACATAGCAAACTATAACCTAAATTAGTACGTAAACAAACTGCAACCTAAGAGTATATTCTTGTGACAAATAGCTGAGTCTCAGCCAATTACAGGCTGCCAAACTGATGAGACATTGTCCATATAACGCAAATGCTTCCTCACACCACCTCCAGATAAGGCAAAGGCTGGCCTATAACCAGTCAAGCTGTTTCTGTATGTCACTTCCTTTTTTCTGTCTATAAATACTGACTGCTACGTTGCTGGGTGGAGCTCTCTGAGCCTCTCCTGGTGCTGAGTGCAGTCCAACTCATGAATCGTTCTTTGCTCAAGTAAACTCTGCTAAATTTAATTTGTCTAAAATTTTTCTTTTAATACTATTAGACCTAAGATAACAAGTTTATTTTATCATGAAAGTTTTTCTATTTGTCTTAAAACAATTAGTATCAGCTGGAAATGTCACCAAATGAAGGCTAAGAAGCTGGTCATGGGGCAGCGTCTCTAGGAAGATGGTCAAGACCCCTTTTCACAAGCTCTTGCAGCTTTTGTATGGGTGGAGCCAACAAGGGTGGAGATGAATTGCTCGCAGGCGGTATACTTTAATTAAAAATGTAAGTTCTGTAGTTAGGCAGACCTATGTTTAAATACTCTGTCATTGGGCCTGGTGCAGTGGCTCATGCTTGTAAGCCCAGCACTTTGGGAGGCCGAGCTGGGTGGATCACCAGAGGTCAGGAGTTTGAGACCAGCCTGGCCAACATGGTGAAACCCCAATTCTACTAAAAATACACACACACAAAAACTAGCCAGGCATGGTGTTGCATGCCTGTAGTTCCAGCTACTTGGGAGGCTGAGGCAAGAGAATCGCTTGAACCCAGGCGGTGGAGGTTGCAGTGAGCTGAGATCACGCCGTGGCACTGCAGCCTGGGCGACAGAGCGAGACTCTGTCTGAAAAAAGAAACAAGAGAAGAAAGAAGGAAAGAAGGAAGGAAAGAAGAAAGAAAGAAAGAAAGAGAGAGAGAAAGAGAGAAAGAGAGAGAGAGGGAGGGAGGGAGGGAGGAAGGAAGGAAGGGGAGAGAGAGAGAGAAAGGAAGGAAGGAAGGTAGGAAGGAAGGGAAAGACTCTGTCACTGATGAACTGTGTCTTCCAGAAAATTATATATAGTTTAAGAGTCAGCTTCCACATTTATAAAATGGAGATGATAATGACACCTACGCCAGAGTTGCTCTTTAGACTATAATGAGATAATGCAGGTAAAGCCACTTATCTCAGTGTCTGGCACATGTAAGTGCTCAATATATTTAGTTATTACTGTTATTATGATTATTGATCCTGCAGGTACTTCCCCCAAATAAACACCACAGGCCAGACAGGTGTATTGAGGAGCTGTGTGTCTAAGGTGAGCCTAAAGTGAAAGGCAGAAAGACAAATGGAGAGGCTATTACAGAGTAGGGTTGATTTTCTGCTTTATACTTTTTTATATTTTCTAAATTTTCTTGAAGAACCATGTAGATGGTTTTGCAACATGAAAACTTTCAACAAATGTTATGTTGAAGATCTTATAAACGCAAAAATGCATTCTAGTTAAAATGTTAGAGAACAGAACTGAAGGCCTGCTTCGGTGAACCTTCTGGATTCCCATTTTGGAATGCTGTGAGGTGGAGCTGAGTAGGGAGGGGCCAATCTGTGCTAATTCTCTGAGCTCTTGATCTCTGAGATCTTGAGTCTAATCACTTAGTATCCCTGGATTTCAGTTTTCCCATTAGCTCACTAACGTGTCTCTCAGTTCATAAACTCAATAATTCTGTGCATAAACAGACAAATAAATGGCACGCTTACATCGGTCGCCAGCAGTTCTTCACTGTCATCGATACTGGCCACTGTGACTTCTCCTTGGCTCACGAAGGGGAAGTCAAAGGGGTTGGTGGAGATCAGAAGCAAGTCTGTGAAACACAGAGATCCCTTTAATGGCTTATGCATAACTTACTCTGGGTTTTTTTTTCCCCCAATGTCACTGATTTGGAAGATAAGAAAAGTATTCCAAGAGCTTACCAATTAGTTCTGGCTTCTTGTTTGACAAAATTTGGTAGAAAATATGATAGCTTCTCTCACTGGATAATTGAAATGTCACTCTGGATTTTTCTAACAGATCTAAGGTAACAAAAATAACATGATTTCAGGTTCTCAGGTGGTGCTTTTGTGGCCAAAACACCAACAGTTTTATAGTGTCTGGACTCACAGGTTTCGATGTCTGCCGATGCCAGCTTTCCTGTGGCTCCAAAATGAATCCGAATGAACTTCCCCTGTCCAATAACAGGTGGACAAACGTTACAGTTATTTGATTTATACGGTTTTTGTGGCTGGCCTTGGATAGTTGCTGCCACAGATAAATTATAAATGCAAAAATGCTAGAGAACAGAACTGAAGGCCTACTTCGGTGAACCTTCTGGATTCCCATTTTGGAATGCTGTGAGGAGGAGCTGAGTAGGGAGGGGCCAGTCTGTACTAATTCTCTGAGCCCTTGATCTCTGAGATCTTGAGTCTAATCACTTAGTATCCCTGGATTTCAGTTTTCCCATTAGCTCACTAACGTGTCTCTCAGTTCATAAACTCAATAATTCTGTCCACAAACAAACAAATTAATGGCATGCTTACATCTGTCGCCAACAATTCTTCACTGTTACTGATACTGGCCACCGTGACCTCTCCTTGGCTCAGGAGGAAGGGATGCCAGAACATGGGCACCTCTCCACCTGGTGCCCAGAGCTCCCAAGCTGGGTCAGCCAGGACTCAGGTAGTTCTACCCAAGCACCTGGTCCTGTTCCTACAACCCAGGGGATGCCCATAGGCTCCTTCTTCAGCTCTCTTCTTGGGACTACTCCATTCTTGACTACCGGCCTGGTTTTTATCCTGTTCTCTTATACTTGGATTCTTGAATCTTCATAACGCCTTTGAATTCTAACTGGTCGGGTTGTTCTGTCTGACTTTTTTTTTTTTTGCTTGTATTTTAGTAGATGCTACTTCTGAGATTTCTTGCCTGAGTTTCACGTATGGCTGACTACAGACAAATCTAGCTCACAGGCCCGGGCTCAGGCTCAGGCCTGGCTCTCTGGCTGCCAAAAGAACAACTCAGGGTCTAGATGGCCCACTTTCTGGGGAGTGGGAGGTAAAATTTCATATGCGTGTTTGTGTGTATGCACCTGCTTCATACATTATCTGCTTAATTGGTCCTCAGTGACACTGCGAGCAAATTTGAGGACAAAAATATGTTTTCTTGCTTGTTCCCCTACAGCAATGGGTGAACTGAAATGTGGATGATACTTAGTAATGCCTCAATATTTTCTGAATGAACCCTAGGAAAAGTTAGTGAAGGATCAGTAAAGGCATGCGTGCATTGTAAGTGCTGGGTGTTAAGTATTTTTAGCTGCTTAATGGAAGACAATGGAAGTCATCCCTAGCCTGCAAATATTTGGAGGGTGGAAAGAGGACAAAATAGTTAGAATGATTGTGACTTCTGGATCAGGGCTAAGAGTAGAGGCCCATGAACTCAGTAAATGGGAATGAGAAGAGGGAGTGCCTGAAGGTATCGGCTTTCATGTTAAGCTGGTATCAGGCCAGTGCAATAACTAACTTGGTCCAGGCATGGGCAACATACCTCTGCCATGTAACATGTGCCCAGACCTTCCACAAGGAAGAGGAGTTTATTTGGGCACCGGGGAGGATACACATGCAGATTGGCAGTGCAAAGCACATATCCAAGGAAACAAAAGTCAAGGCTCAGAGCCATGGTACTTGATAAATGTATCTACTTCCTCATCGATAACCATTTTATCTTTGAGGGGCGACAAAATACAAGTTTGAGACTATCCAACTACTAAGATGTGTGAAGTTTTAATGTACTTTTGCAACCATAGGCACAAATGATGGCTTCGCCTCTGAGTACTTGCTCCACTGGCCAGTGAAATAAAATAGAGGGTTGGATGTGTGTTTATTTCCAATGGGAAGTAAATGTCTTTTTGATTAAGCCAATCCTAAGTAAAAAGTTGAAGGATGGCACACATCCTTCAATGTCTTCAGTATGAATCTATTCCATCTTTTTTTTTTTTTTTTTTTTGAGACAGAGTTGCCTTCTGTTGCCCAGGCTGGAGTGCAGTGTTGCAATCTCAGCTCACTGCAACCTCCGCCTCCTGTGTTCAAGCAATTCTCCTGCCTCAGCCTCCCAAGTAGCTGGGATTACAGGCAGGCACCACCATGCTCAGCTAATTTTTTGTATTTTTAGTAGAGATGGGGTTTCGCCACGTTGGCCAGGCTGGTCTCGAACTCCTGGCCTCAAGTGATCCACCCACCTCAGCCTCCTAAAGTGCTGGGATTATAAGCGTGAGTCACCGTGTCCAGCCTATTTAAAATTTTTGAGCTCTTTTGCCTTCACTAGGTTTTCCATGCTCCCAATCTCTGCTGAGTTGGAAGAGGTCAAATCTGCTAACTTAATTCACACTAAGGCTTCCGTGGCTAGGTCAATAGATATGGCTTAATGGACGTTTACATTTTAAAATGTTTCCACACAGAGAAACCCATTTTAGCATAAAGTTGATCTCTAATTTTGGGATGTGAATCATGTGAGTGACTTCAGGATGCTGTGAGGTGACATTGCCTAGTTAGGGTAGGATGGCAAATCCTCCCTCTGCCAGGGCCAAACCAACACCTTCCTCAAAGTGTATCAAAATATTCCTGGTGGGTAGACGGATCTCAATCACTTGGCGGTAGAAAAAGTCCCCTGTATATTCTAGTTTATGGGGCAGTTTTTCATATTCAGTATTTCAGGAGAGGGTGTGGTTTTGGGAAGATACTTGAAAATTGGGCTGGGTCTTACAAATCTTGAGGAGTTGTCATTCCTCACAGTCTTGGCATTTCCAAAGGCCTCCAGCAGCGGGTTGGCTTGGATGATCTGATCCTCCAGGGTTCCCTAATCATAAACAAGAAGAGGAAAAAGAGGGTTTTGGATGGTTTTCTAAAGCAGCTCCTTGGTGAATACAACTGTGGGTGCTCTGGGCAGGTCCAGGGAGAGGTGTCGACCAGCTCCACCTGGTGGTCAGTGCAGTACCTACACCCCCACCCCCACCAGACCTAAGGCGTCTTCAAGGTGCCACCCTAGACAGGCTTTTATTAGCATAGCATCGAAGTGACTTCCGGTCATGCCAGGTTCTAGGCAGGAATATTACTCCCTCCATCAGAACATCCAGACTGCCTTTCTGATAACATTTCATTATAAATCATAGATTTTAATAACACGTACCTCTGTCATTGCATGTAATATGACCCACCTAGTATCACAGATATTTGTGTTCAAAAGGAGATATAGAATGTGAGTAAAGCAAGTGATCCAAGAGATAATACAAATAAAAACAGTGGTTCTCAAAAAGGTTTTTTATGTACCAAAAAATATGCGAATGATTATTCAGAAATCCAGTCTAGAAAGCAGAGTTTTCACCTTCACCCTTCTGGGCCCAGAAAAACTTAAAAAATACTGTCAAACCTAACGGTTCTCAAAGTGTGGTCCCTGGACCAGCAGCATGAACACTACCTGGGAATATGGGAGAAATGCCAGGTATGGTAGCTCACGCTTGTAATTAGTACTTTGGGAGGCTGAGGCAGGAGGATTACTTGAGGCCAACGGTCTGATACCAGCCTGGGCAACATAGTGAGATTCCATCTCTACAAAAAATTAAAAAATGAGCCAAGCATGGTGGTTCCTATAGTACTAACTACACAGTAGGCTGAAGCAGGATGATCGCTTGAGCCCAGGAGTTTGAGGTTACAGCGAGCTATGATGGTGTGCCACTGTACTCCAGCCTGGGTGACAGAGTGAGACCCTGTCTCTACAAAATAAAAAGGAAGAAAAATGCGAACTATGAGGTCCCACCCTAGATCTACACAATCAGAAATTCTGGGCCTGGGCTCTGCCACCCTTTGTTAAGAATCCCTCTTGCTGATTCTGATGTGTACTCCAATTTGAAAACCACTGGTGTAAACAAACATTCTTTCTCCAGAGGAGGATGTGGAGTTGGTCAAGGTCCCTCAGCTGTCGCTGATGGAGCTGGTGCCAGAACTCAAGTTCATTCTGGTGGAACCACTTCCTGCTTTGCTCCATGTGATACTGTGATATAATAGGAATGGTATATTTTGGTCTTTTTCTAGTTTCCTGGTACAAAGCTCCTAAAACCCTTGGAATATCTGAAGGGATAAATGTCTTTTTGTGTGCTAATGAGATGATTGGTGGCTTCGGAGTCCTGGAAAGCTTAGGATGGGGGCTGGTTGCCAGGGAACCAACCACGTGATTAGAGGGTTGGAACTTTCAGTCCTATCCCTGACCCCGGGAAGGAAAAAAGGGCTGGAGGTTGAGTCAGTCGTCTATGGCCAGTGATTTAATGAATCATGCTCGTGTAATGGAGCCTCTGTAAAAGCCCTACACAGAAGGCTTCAGAGAGGTTCCAGGTTGATGAACACCTGCGGGTGCTGGGAGGATGTCACCTGCAGAGACTATGCCCCTCCCCCATACCTTGCCCTAGACATCTTTTCCACTTGGCTTTTCAACTGCATCCTTTGTAATATCCTTTATAACAAACTGGCAAATGTAAGCAAAGTGTTTCTCTTGAGTTCTGTGAACCGTTCTAGGTAATTAGCAAACCTGAGAAGGGGGTTGTGAGATTCCCCTGATGAATAGCTGCTTGGTTAGAAGTTCAGGAGGCCCGGACTAGTCCCTGGTATCTAAAGTGGGGGCAGTTTTGCAGGACAGAGCCCTTAACTTGTGGGATTTGATGCTTTCTCTAGGTAGTGAGTATCAGAATTGAATTGAATTGTAGGACACCCAGTTGGTGTCTGCAGAGAATTGGAGAATTGTTCGACATGGGAAAACCCCATACATTTGATGTCAGATGTGTTCTGTGTGAGGATACAGAGAGGAAAGAAAGGGTTTTTCCTATTTGCCATCTCTGCTGAGCGCATACCCTGCATACACTTGGTGCTCATCCAGGCTTTAAATGACACTTATTCCAATTAGCCTCCAGATGCAGGTGGCTGCTCACCTGCATTTTGCCTGGCTGTGTCTCCTTCTTCTTGTCCCCAGTAACTGCAATTGTTGCAAAATACTGGATGACACGCTTGGTGTTCACAGTCTTCCCAGCCCCGGATTCTCCGCTGCCAATTTAAAAGTAAATGGGATAAAGGAGAGTGGCATGGAGGGCACTGGTTTCCAGGACATGATGGTGCAAACAGGGGTTACTCACGTGATGAGGATAGACTGGTTGTCTCGATCTAGAAATGCAGAGGAAAGCAAAACAAAACAAATAAACAACAAACAGAACATTAAAATAAAGTAACACTGGGGGAGGCTGGAGAACATGGGCTCTAGTTAATGTCTTTGCCATTAACCAGTGGTGTGATTTGGGCATGTCTAATCTTCTTTGGGACAATTTAGGCAGATTTCTCAAATGTGGAATGTGTAACATGACCAGCCTGGGAGGTAAATGATTCTCCACTCACTGTGGTGAATCCCACAGTGTAGAAGTTACTCATGTTCGTAGATCTTTAACTCCCTGCTAGCACTTTCCCGTCATCCTTTTCCATAAAGAAAGCAAGTGTCAGGTTCAGACCTTGTGGGGCCACAGCTTTTCATTAACATTTATAGATGCTGATTGGTTTTATTGCATTTTTCTTTTACCTTGACCTTCTACTTGTGAAAAGTGATACTGGTTTTTCACTTACAATAGAGCATGGTTTGAACTGTGTCCCCCTAAAATTCCTATATTGAATTTCTAACCCCTAGTACCTCAGAATGTGACCTTATTTGGACATAAGATGTAAGGTATTTAGTCAAGATGAGGTCATGCTGGAGTAGGGCAAGCCCCTGATCTACTGTGACTGGTATCCTTATAAACAGAAGAAATTTGGAGACACACAAGCACACAGGGAGAATGTCATATGAAGATTAAGGCAGGAATCAGGGTGATGTTTCTATAAATCAAAAACAACAAAGATTTCTGCTAGCAAACCATAGAAGCTGGGAGAGAGGCATGGGCCAGATTCTCTCTCAGCGTCCTCACACGAACCAATCCTGCTGACACCTTGACCTCAGACTTCTATCGTCTAGGACTGTGAGACAGTACATTTCTATTGCGTAAGCCCCCCAGTCTGTGATACTCTGTTACAGCAGCTGTAGCAAACTAATAGAAATTGTGGTATTAGTCTTCCCTTTAAAATTAATGTAACATTAATTGATTTCAAGAAAAATATTAAGTTTGCAGACATGACAAGGGATGTGATTGTGAGAAAGAAATGACAGAAGTTTGGGCACCATTGCATTAGATGATTTTTAAGCATCTATAGGTCTCAGATGTGTGCTTCTTTTTTTTTTTTTTTGAGATGGAGTTTCACTCTTGTTGCCCAGGCTGAAGTGCAGTGGCGAGATCTCAGTTCACCACAACCTCCACTTCCCAGGTGCAAGCAATTCTCCTGCCTCAGCCTCCTGAGTAGCTGGGATTACAGGTGCCCACTACCACGCCTGGCTCATTTTTTATATTTTTACTAGAGACAGGGTTTCATCATGTTGGCCAGGCTGGCCCCGAACTCCTGACCTCAGGTGATCCACCTGCCTCGGCCTCCCAAAGTGCTAGGATTACAGGCGTGAGCCACTGCACCCGGCCTTGCTTCTACTTCTAGTATCTGTTCCAAGTCAAGTCAGGTGAAGGCTGAACAGACAGATTTGATATTAGGCATCATGGCATGACGGTGTTACCATGTCTCTACTCCCCAGGTCGTTCTGGAAATTTAAGGAGTTGATAGGCAGACCGAGTTTGGGGAAGAAGGCAGGAACACTGCTTTATCCATTTCTCTGAGTGGCTACCAATATAGTTTCTCTTCAAAGTACACCTGGATTGGGAGTTCCCTGGGGACAAAGGTAGGGCATCTCGTTGCGTGCCACCTTCTCCCAAATAAGCATGAGCTCAGTGTAGCTTCAGCCATAACCACAGGCCTTGTCATGCACTGTGACTGGCAATGGAAGATGTACCCCTTGCTTTTCATCCCCAAATCATTGGACTCTCCGAAGATCACTTTGATTATTGCACCATTCAGATGACCAATGCCCCCCAAAAGCTTGAAAAATTAACTAAGGATGGCTTCAAAAAATGTGAATCAAAGAAATTACTCACCAGTCAGCATAAACTGATAAGCATTGTCAGAGATGGAGAAGATGTGAGGTGGAGCCTCCTGGCGCTTTTTGCCTCTGTAGGCAGCCACCACCTCGGGGTTGTACACCGGCAGCCACTTGTAGGGGTTGACGGTGACACAGAAGAGGCCTGAGTAGGTCTGGGAAAATCAGAACATTTATCATTTGGATCTTGTTTTTACTCAGAGAGAGACATGAAATAAAAAGGTGTTTACAGACACTCACGTAGATCATCCAGGCTGCGTAGCGCTCTTTGAGGTTGTACAGCACGGCAGGTTCATGCAGGTGAGTCATCATGGCCATATCCTCGATCTTGTCAAATTTGGGAGGGTTCATGGGGAAGACCTGGTCATTGTTCAGAGTGAGCGTCTGGGTATTGAGAGGAAAAGCAGTAATAAATGGGTGAGCCAAGTACCTGCACTGCACTTTACTGGTGTGGTGGAAGTGAGATATCGTGGAGCAATTACCCCATTGTGATGGATAATTTTGTGGATCCTTTCCATGACCAGACATGATCCATAAATAACAGTTCTTGAAGAATCTGTTTCTGGTCAAACTACGTGACCAATTCTGGTCTGATGCACCCCCCCCCCCACACCAGTCATCCTGTTATCATGTGTACCCGGAGTGGGTTACAGCTGTGCAGAGCTTTGGAGCCCTTGGGCCCCAAGGCCACGTTGCCTCTGTTTACCTTATTTATTGTGAGTGCTGTGATGAGACAAAGGTTGGAAGGTTACAAAGAACTGCTCCCAAGTGTTCTGTGCTTTTCCACCTCAATATCTCTGCTCATGAGGGTTCCTTCAGCTCGAATGTCTTCATGAAAATTTTGTTTAGAAACTTTCAAAGCTCATCTCTAGCACCACCCCTTCCACGACCCATCTCCTCTCTCCCCTATTGCTTCAAGGCTCCCATAATTATTTGTACCTCTGCTCTAATAGTTCAAACATTTGGGGGTGCATCATGGTTCTTTGCTGAATATTTTCAGAAAATTATTTATTTATTTTTCCCTTCTGTGTGTTTTTCCCACCTTTCTCCCCCATTCAAGCTGGCTCTGTACTCCATGGCTCAGGAAAGATAGCAAATAGGTCAAGAAAAGGAAAAGAGCTTGTAATACTTTCTGGATTTTGATTTCCAAAAGCCTAAGTCCTTAGGAAAACTTTGAAAGTTTCACAGAAAAGGTAAAAAGAAGGAGTTTCGCTGGTATAGACCAAATTTTTTGAGGAAGGGAGGCATTTCCACTCCACCACCCCAGACTAGAAAAAGAAAGACAGACACCCCAGGTAGCCAAAGGGGAGGCAGAAAAGTCTATGTATCCTGAACCTCTAAGAACTGGGGTTTATTTCTTTTCTTTTCTTTTCTTTTTGAGAAGGAGTCTCGCACTGTTGTCCAGGCTGGAGTGCAGTGGCATGATCTTGGCTCACTGCAAGCTCTGCCTCCCAGGTTCATGCCATTCTCCTGCCTCAGCCTCCTGAGTAGCTGGGACTACAGGTGCCCACCACCACGCCTGGCTAATTTTTTGTATTTTTAGTAGAGATGGGGTTTCACCGTGTTAGCCAGGATGGTCTCAATCTCCTGACCTCGTGATCTGCCCACCTCAGTCTCCCAAAGTGTGGGGATTACAGGCGTGAGCCACCGCGCCTGGCCAGATTGGGGCTTATTTCTTAACAGATCCTCCAGGGAGGCTGTGAATCCCCATTGTGGTGCTGTGTAAGGTTCTGAAAACGTGACACATCCCTGAGGTGGTTGGTGGTGGAGTGACCCCAAGAGTGACTGAAAAAAATTTGTCCCAGCCCACTGAAAAGGGGCTGGAATCAGAGGCTAAGTTTAATAACTTATTAATAAATTTAATAAAAGCAAGGTCTGTCTCATATGCCTGAGTTTGTGAAATGAGATTCATACCTGCCATATACATCTTTGGGAAACTCTGGGAAAGCAGGTGCAGAGGTATGCTTATATCTGCAAAGCAATCAATGCTAGGACCTAGACCTGGTGGATGCCCAGTAAGTACTGAATGGTACATGGTAATTCTCCACATTAAACGCGTCAGTGGCTCCAGAGCTTCCTCTGTAGGAGCCACTCCACAGCCCAGTGAGGTATAATTGGTCAGCCCATCCAGTTATCAGCCTTTTCCTTACATAGCTCAACCTTTTGTGCCCTCACCTGCTGTCTTCCTTTAAAGCAAACACAACAAAACCCCTCAAAGCCCAAGTCCTTGGAGAAGGAAAAAGGCAAGAGGGAAGATGCATGCGATAGCAGCTTTCACTTGCTACTTCATCGCAGAGCAGATAAACTAAGTTTTGTTCTATCTTCAGGTTCTAAAGGACCAGCATGCAATTTCTAACGTTCTACTCCAAAGAAAAATGAGCATGTCCGTATTATCGAAGACATCTGGAATCAACACTCACCCGGTCATCGAGGGTCTTGACTATGACTTTGTCATTTTCCCTACTCTGGATCATGCCTTTCACATACATTTCCTTATCATCTGCTACAAAGCAGGCTTTCTTGGAATCGAATGGACGATTCTGAGCCTCGATTCTCTCCTTCTCTGGTTTCCGGAGGTAGGGAGCTGCTTCTCCAAAAATGGCCATTTCTGCATCAGAGCTCATGGCTGCAGAGGGCTGGGAAGACCAGAGGGACTGCTGAGTCTTGTGCTTGGGTGACTACTGAAGCTGCAGGGCCCCAACCCTTATTCCATTCAAACAGGTGGCCAGATTCAAAGGCTCCTGGATTGAACATAGGTCCTGAGGGATCTATGGCCAGGTCTAGGAACTTCAAGTGTTCAAGCGGGAATAAGCTAAAGGGGATATTTTATTCTAAGAAAAAAAGTATGAAGGTTGTTTTTTTATCCTCTGAGTGTCGATTTTGGGAGTATTTTAGTTCAGCCCCATATGTGCATGTCTGAATCAATTAGAGCCAAGGTGAACCCAATAAAAGAGGCTTCAGGAAGTACTTTCTTTCCTTTTTTTTTTTTCAGACAGAGTTTTGCTCTTGTTGCCCGGGCTGAAGTGCAATGGCTCCAGGTTGCAATCTTGGCTCTGCAATCTCCGCCTCCCAGGTTCAGGTGATTCTCCTGCCTCAGCTTCCCGAGTAGCTGGGAATACAGGTGCCTGCCACCACACCCAGCTAATTTTTTTATATTTTTAGTAGACAGGGGATTTCACCATGTTGGCCAGGCTGGTCTTGAACTCCTGACCTCAGGCGATCTGCCCGCCTCGACCACCCAAAGTGCTGGGATTACAGGCATGAGCCACTGCGTCCGGCCTAGGAAGCACTTTCTAAATCGCTCATCGTGTTTGAGCCTGTGATCTCTGTGTCGTTCTAAAATCTTAAGAATATTTGAAAATCGTCATTGGAATGCTGATAATTCTTTTCTTTCTTTTTTTTTTTTTTTTTCTGAGGCGGAGTCTTGCTCTGTCACCCCGCCTGGAGTGCAGTGGCCGGATCTCACTCACTTCAAGCTCCGCCTCCCGGGTTTACGCCATTCTCCTGCCTCAGCCTCCTGAGTAGCTGGGACTACAGGCACTCGCCACCTCGCCCGGCTAGTTTTTTGTATTTTTTTTTAGTAGAGACGGGGTTTCACCGGATTAGCCAGGATGGTCTTGATCTCCTGACCTCGTGATCCGCCCGTCTCGGCCTCCCAAAGTGCTGGGATTACAGGCTTGAGCCACAGCGCCCAGCCAGATAATTCTTATTAGACTTTTCGGTTAGCCCCCGTGAAAAGTGAATGGCTTGAACATGAAGATTTGTCACATTTATTTAAATAACAAGATGATGGGAGGCAAAATGGCCCAGGGCGATGATCCCAAACTTTAACGTGCCAGAATCCCCTTGAGGGGTTGTTAAAGCACAGATTACGGCCCTGTCCCAATAGTTTCTGATTCAGCAAGTCTGAAGTGAAGCCTAAAAATGGGCATTTCTAGCAAGTTCCCAGGTGATGCAGATACTGCTGATCCAGGGACCACACTGAGAGTGGCTGGCATAGTGCCTTCCTGTTCTCAGAGTGGTGCTTGAAATGTAGCAGCTTCAGGCAGGACTTCATTAAGAAATTCAGAATCTCAGACCTACCCAAGACCCACCCACCTGACCTCAGGTGATCTGCCCACCTCGGCCTCCCAAAGTGCTGGGATTACAAGTGTGAGCCACTGTGCCTGGCCAACATAAATATTTTAATAAAAATTACCATATTTTCCAAAACGAAAAAATTAGTGAGAAGGATAATGTTGTTTTTCATTTTTTTGCAAATCTCTTTACTGTCTCCTTAATGAAAGACTGTTGGATTCTCATATCTGCTTCTCTATTCATGCCATTGCTGTATGTTTGGTGAGAGTAAATATAAAATATTTAGCTATGTAATTCAGAAAAGGCAAGAGTATTTTAGTCACCTTTTCACATAATTGTGAATTTTCTTCTTACTCTACCAAAGCTTGACAAGTGGTAGTTTCTTAAAGGCTAGTTGCAATGTGGAATCTGAAGCCATATCAATAAACATTTCATACTCCATTACATTATAATCCACTAGTCTGTCTTGCATTTTGAGTGGATCTTCTTTTCCCATATGTGGGCTTCTTTTCCCATATGTGGACTTCCCATATGTGGTTGTTTGGAAAATACTGGTTCACTGAATTATATAGTATTTCCAAATGTGGACACATTTTCTTATGCAATATAAAAAAATTACAATCATTAATATCACCACCATGATATCATTTGAAAATTCTTTCAGTACTAGGAAGCTGTCAAGCTAATGGTGGCAAATACATGTTTTCTCGTTTATATTTGATACACGAGAATGATATAAATGATATAAATACATTCTCGTTTATATTTGAAGGCTCAAAGTTGTGATTTATAACAAATGCTGTCAGTTTTTCCTCAAGATGAAAACTACATTGTCGCTTTTGGAGAACATGTTTGCCAAATACCCAAGTCTGAATAACCATAGCTTCTCTGCTAGTTGGTCTTTTAAATTAAAATGGTGCTTTGTGAATGAAGTGGCTAGTTCAGCTTGCAACTCACACAAATGCACGTGTGCTTTTCCAGGAGACAACCATCAAACTTTGGTGGACTTCCCATTTCATCACATAAAATTATTAATGAAACTTTTTAGTGCAAGTGTATGGTAGTGAAGAATACAGTAATTACTAATGCAGTTTGGTGTCGTGCCTTGATTTGTAATAAGGTACCAGCCATTTATTCATCCTTGCTTTTGCATCACTCATGCAGTGAAAATGGCAAATAACAGCTGGGTATGATTGTGAAATTGTTTTAGCCTCACGTACCTCCTAAAAAGTTCTTGGGATTCTACAAGGACCCACAGACCACACTTTGAGAATGACTGCCCTATTGCATAAGGGAATCCTGACTGGTTACAGGTTTACAACCTTATAATATGTAGCTTGACTTAGCGTTAAGCATGATACCCAAAAGTGTTGGAAGATGATTTACATCAAAACCGTCTGTAACATAATCTCTGTGACTGGGACCAGGGAAACTAATTTTTTGATAAGAGCCTCAGAGAGATGTTTGGGAACCACTGGTTTAAAGCATTACTTTTATGAAACTACTCTGCTTTTCCAAAGCCAAAACCACGGCACAGTCTCATTGCTTGTACACAAAATAATTTTAGGCAAATATTTCTTAATTTAATATTTGTATGCTTTTTTTAAAGCCTATTACCTTATTTTATCAAAACATGCCATCAATGATAAGTTCCACAAATAAAGAAAAAAATGCAGCTAATTTAAACTGCAATGCTCCTTTCTGTAGATTGTGATATGCATCCTCATTTCACAGAGAAACTTGTAAAAAATGTACAAAAATCAGAATTGATAGAGATAGGGTAATATTTGCTTAACGTTTAGGAAGTGTGCTACATCCATGTATTCTATGATATCAATGAGTGTTTCTCAAACATAAATGGGCATATGAATCCTGCTGTGAATATTCACTAGGTCTGGGGTTGGGTTTGAGCTTTTAAATAAATATCTTACAAATTTCTCAGCTAATGCTGATATAGCAAGAACATAGGTAACTTTAAAAACAAATAAGAAAAAATGAATCAATGTAAATAAAAATATTAAGCAAATTGACAGTATTGGTGTTAACATGGCTATTGCAAAACTTGGCGATGGCAATAGAAGAATAAAGTCTGAAGTCAGGGAAAGGCTGCCATAACTGATAATTGAGCCATATTTTTAGTCCTCCTGGAAAAACAAGGCTTTTCCATCTGGGCCTCACGACAGTTTTCAAGTAGAGATTTTTCTCCCTTCATTTACTCTAACCGTGACTCAGAACCCAGTATCTCCTAGTAGTATTACCTAGCTGATGCTTGAGTTATCCCTCCATACTCCTGCAATGGTGCATCTAACCTAGTTGAATACTTTTAGGCACAACTCTTTTGTCTTTGGAGTAGGTTTGATAGGCCAAAATTTCTTCTTGCTTTAAATTAAAATCTCGCTCTCCGTAATTTCAGGACAATAGTTTCTCATTCCACCCCTTGGTAAGAGCAGAACGAGTTCAAACCTTCCTACATGACAACTCTTCACCCTTTCGATGGCTGCTCTGTGTCCTGCTTAGCTTTATCTTCTCCATGCTAAATACCCTCAGCTTCGTTTGCTGCTTCTATGATGTCCTTCTGAATCCCTTACCATCTCGGTCACTCTTCCCTGAACCCACTCCTGTTAATCTCTTACAGTGTGATATCCAAACCACATGTCACCCTCCGCTGGAGTGTGCCCTCACCTCTGTTGACCTAGGTGTCATGCCTGAGGTGGTGATTGCCTGTTGGCAGCCACGTCTCACACTGCTGACGCGCCACGCCCTTTCGAGCAAAGCCCCTCAATCCTCTCCGTGCACACAGTTGCTAAGTCAGATCTTCTCCCTATATTTATGCAACTGGGAGTTGGGACCCAAGGGAAGACCATTCATTTTTGACTGATAAACTTCACCTTGTTAGATCTGATCCAAGTCTCTAGGCATGACTCATGCTGCCCACTGAGCACCACCCTCAAGAGTTTCCTTAATTAGCCTTTCTCTGTTCCAAGAGCAGGACCTGCTTCCAGCGTTGCATAGCTGTGCCCCTTCAACCACCTCTGTTCCTGTCTTTAAGCACCTTCTAACTGAGATGACCACCCCCGCCTGCCTAATCTCCATCACCCACTTCTGAGGGTTCCTCTCTCTCTGTTTACCCTCTGTGTACCATGTACACTACTCTCAATTTTCATCCCTCTCCTGGGAATTTCACCACTACTGTGTCTTGTCAGCAATGATGTGGTCATGAGTCAATGACACCTTGCCTTTTTTGGTCCCAATTCATCTAGAATTACCTCTAATAAGCACACATTTTAAGGGGATAGGGTTTTTATTACCACACCGGGCATAGGGTTGAACGGATGCCTCCCCATTCCTTCAGTATTACACATGAGGGAAGGTGCAGCTGTGCGGATTCAGGGGTGCAGCGTCTGCTCAAGGAGTAGTAAAGTTAGCCTGTGTGTGAAAACTGCATCTGGATCCTATGAACATCATGTTCTGGGCCAACTAAGTACTGTATATTGACTTGGAGCTTGTATGTCAAAATTCTGCATCATATTTTGTACATTTTGGTGTA